TCACGCTACACTTCTTACATTTACTGTTTTCCACTCTTAATTTATTCAATATTTTCGATCGAATTTCTAGCTTACCGTGTAAACCAATGCAAATGGTTCGGGTATCTTCGTATTGAAAATTTATTTATATGTGGTTTTCAGCCAAATGTGCCTAAACTTTTGTGCTACGCTTTACATTGTTTTATGTTTTTCGTACGCTTGAAACGTGCCAGCACGTCTGTCGATTTATTACGCGCCAATGATGATCGGATATTGGATTTATAATTATTTAAAAAAGGTTAGCAGGGCCAAGCGTTTATTTTTCTTTCTCAAATTTATATAACACTGATAGAATTTTAATTTTTCCTTTAATTTTTACGACTTCTTTTTCTGCTCGGCTAATTACAACGCCTCGGAAATATTTAAGTATGTTAAGTGCACTAAGAAATTCTTCTCAAGCAACAACAATATTTTCAAGAGAAGTTTTATTATCCTTATATTTCAAAAAAAAGCAACAGTTTCTTTTAACTTTTCACTTATGTATGTAAGTTTAGTACGTAGAAAACTTGAGTTTTCCCCCAGTTGGCGATAAGATCTACTGCACTTCAACATAAAATGCATATGTATTTTTATAAATCTTGCGCTTGAGAAAGCTTTGTGCATATTTTTGCAAACTAAATACTTATATGTGGGAAGACCAAAAAACCCGCAAACAATGCTTAGTACTCGTTTTCAAGGAATACATTATTCAGTTTAAACATTTAGTAAAGAAAAAACTTTTCTCTATACAAAGCTCTTAGAATATATGTAGCAAGAAAAATAGTAGAAAAAAATCTGAAGCTCATACGAAAAATGCGCACGTATGTACATAAATGTGCAGTAGCTTGCACAAACACCTATATATTTTTACATATTTACATTTTATACAATAAAAGAAATACATACATATATCATCATTTGAATATACTTAAAGAGCACACACAAACTTACTTTTTGGAAAGCCACCAAACGTGCGCCAGGTGCTTTTCACTACATTCACTCACTTGGCTGCCACATTATGCATACGGCTTCTACATTTCACATTATGGTGAAGTATTTCTTCCTTGCAGTAGTTTTTCTTATGAAATATTACATATTCTGCAAATCGAGAAAAAAAATTATGAATTCTCGTTTTTAGCAGAAATGTAATGGCCATATTGCACGTGCCCATACGCTGCTATATGCCAGGTACTTACTTACGTATGTATGTATGTATGTATGTGTACCACCTTGGTACGCATTAATATTGCAACGTGAAGTCCTATAACTAAATATAAGTATCTGTTTGGATGCTTGTGTTTGCAGAAGATTCAAAATGTGACTTGCGAAGGCGAAGAAGAAGTCACGAAAATTTTAGGAAAAAAGCAAAAATTCTCATTTTGAAAGAACTTGAAGAGTGAAGTCGCTGACGTTTGAATACTTTGGCTTGCGACAGCACTTATAAATGCTTGGGCATCCACTTGTCTCGTTATATTTATGTAAAGTGTGTCCCAAATAGCGTTTTCATATTAACAAATAGTTCAAATACCCACTGACGTTAGATAGATATGTGTATATGATTTCATATGAGGTGTGAACTGCTTCCCAAGTGTCTATTGTGCATTTCTGTTCTGAGCTGTTCTTTTGCCAAGTAGGGCGCAGGCTCCATTTGGATTGTACCGTCGATTCCCTAGCTCATGTGGCCACTATCTCAATTTCTTCTATTCCCAACGTGATCTGGAACCCATAAGAGAGGTCATTGGCGTAACTACGCCATCTGAGGCCCGTGTTGAATGGGTTCGTGGTGGGTGGGTTCGATGGGGCCCTCCTCATTGTAATTTTATTTTAATAAATCATAAGTAGTTACCCAACACGATTAAAAATAATGTGTGCATTTTAGTTAAATATCTACATAATAAATTTTATTTTCAATTTATAATTATAATTTTTGAGGTTTGGACAAGTGGTGAGCCCAGTCGGTCAGACAAAAACAGCATACTCGGAAATTTAAATTGACCATCGAAATCTTGGCTTAATGTTGAAACCCTCGTTTTCGTTAGGTTGGAGCTTACACTGGGCCTTAACTTCATATGTATGAACATGTGTACCTATTGTAAGAAAAATATGAGTACGGCAGTTGACTATTTTTAACCGACTTTACAAAAAGGAGAAGGTTATCAATTTGTCGAAATATTTTTTTTTGTTTTTATGTACGTTACCGCATAACTTTGGATCACGTCAACCGATTTCTATAATTCTTTTTTTAAAAGAAAGGTGTTACCTCACAGGTAGTCCCATACTAATCCGATCGTTGGATCATTGGAAATTAAAGATAATCTTAAATTCTTATATGAGAATTGAAGTCGGTTTTGATATTTGCTAAAAATTTATTTTTTTTATAGCTCAAACCTTGTACGAGAATTTGAAAAACTCTACAAACTTCAACAAAATTTCATCAAACTTTCAAACATTTTAATCAGAACTAATAAAAATCCAGGTTTTTTAATTTTTTTTTTGTTGACGTGCGTAGGAATTTTGTTCCATATAAAAAAAAAATCAAGCATTCTTTATATGGACCAAATTACAACTCGCAGAGACAAAATTGTGTATTACAAAACTTGAAAAATGCTTTAGCGGATTTTCATTTTGAACCGAACCGAACCATATTTTAGAGTGGTTTTCGGTTCGGTTTTGGCATTTCAAAACAGACGGTTCGGTTCGTGGTTCGGTTCAAAAAACGGTCGGTGCCAAACCGGTTTGCAGCCCTGTTTATGATGATACTAGCATACTTCGTTTCGCCCAAAATTAAATTTTTATTGAAACATTTTATGCAACGTTTTCACCAACAATTCACGTTCACGTTTTTGTATTTGTGGTGGTGAGAAGGCATATCCTAAATGCCCGTCTTAAATAGTCTAATGAAAGCGTTATGTCCGTGAAGAAGTTCTTGCGGCAACAATGATCGGCCTTGAATCTGCATCCTTGTATCGTTGTATCCCGTATCCTGTGTCCTTGAATCTGGAGGTAATTTCAAGATGGGGGAGTATCATTGGTCCACAGAAATCCAATATACATAGACTTATTTCAGACGAAATATCTTCTATATCTTACAATTGTATTTGTAGCCATTTATCAAGAATTGTCTTTATTCTGTTTAGTCGCGGTGGTAATTTTATTTCGATCTTTGGTGTCCCTAAATGACTTCACTTGACGATTATTACCAATAACTCAACTGCAGCGCCCCCTTGTAGCTCTATTTTTTGCAAAAATCCGGTGGATTTAGCATATTTTTTTCGAAGGTCACTATTTTTGACCATTTGGACAAATGGAAATATTTCCTGGTTATCTTGTTGAGCTTCCAACATATATTAATTTTCTTTTTTCCCAGCTCTACCTTTTTGTAACACCCTGTACATTCGATGAACTCATAGCAATTATAAAGGCAACAGCATTATACTTGCCAAAAAACGGCAGCACGTACTTTTGCTTAAAAACATTCTAAGTGCTTATTTCCAGTAAAAGCCTTAAGTTTTGCTGACATTTTTTCCTCTCCATTTTGCTTTCTATGTTGCCTCCTGCACTTCAATACAGTGGCATACAACTAAATATTATTTTAATTCTATCATTAACGATTTTGTTAATTGAAGCTTAAGATAATTATGCCGGTACAATAGAAAGGGCGAAAGTTTAAAGATTCAAGTGGGGTTTACAATGAAATTCAATGAATAATCAGTTTTTCTCGCTTTTTTCGGTCAGCAGCTTAGTACCAGTAATTGCTTCTTATGTGACCTAGCAAAAAATCAGTAATTGCCTCTCGTGTAAAAAAAAACATTTCTGGACTAACTTCTTTTTTGTTGTTTGTGTTTCCGACAGGGTAGGAGTATAACAAGGTATGATGTAAAATCGTTCTACAATTCATCATATCTGAACTAGTTCACGTCTATTTCGGTATTATTTAGTTTATGACCATATTTGGTAACGTTCGGGATCATTCGGGACGTTATTGGAAGATCATTTTAGGACTGGTACTGTACTTTTCCAGAATAGTTCAAGAATATTTGGGGACTAGTTTGGCATCATGTTTCGGCCAAGCTCAGGAACAATTCGGTACTAGTACAGGACTATTTTAGGACAACTTTGGAATCATTTTCGTATTAATACCGTTTTTAGGACGACTTTTTCGACCGTTTCAAGGCCTATTCAGGACTATTTCGGAGCTATTTCAGGATCATTTCGGGTCCATTTCTCGTCCATTCGATACCAGTACAGCACTGGTGCGCAGCGCTAAGGATGGGTTGAACGGGATCTGGTAAAGTACGGCAAAAGGCATCTTGCCCTCTAGCCACAACTGGCATTAAGCGAGTAAAAAAAACCAGAGCGCTCCAACAAATTCCTCCTCACAATACGAACTCATCTCTCTGAGGAAGGGGCGCACGGAAGACGCCACAAATGGAACTAAGCGTTATCGAACTATTCTTGTCCATCCAATCCTTTAAGGCCGGCTAGTGCTTTTACACAACTACTTTTAGAAACAAATTTCATAAGATTCAGAGGACGGTTAAACTAGAGTGCCACCCTCCAGGCTGATAGAACACTGAAACTTAAACTTCTTCCTGCTGTTACCATTGCCACTGCGCGCACTGCCCCCAGAGGGAAGTGACGTGCCCTCTTTGGAACGCTACTAAGATGAAAACTGTTTATTGATCTATCTTGTATCTCACCAATACAGACCAACCGGAATCAATCCCCTCGAGGGAGCTAACTTCAGCTTCCTGAAATATCAAGTCACAAGCTCTTAATCGAAGGCGAATGAGCCGGTATTTAGGCAACGATTGCTACTCACAGATCGAAATCCTTGACCCTCAGCCGAGTGTCTCAAAAAGAAGTACATAGCGTTATCTTCTCAGGGATCCTTAAAAAGTTCGCGGAAACGAAGTTTCAGAGGATAGTCATAAACAAGTAGAGTGAGCAAAGGTAATCCTGTCCGCCAGCCCCAAACTGGCATGAAACGAGTGAATCCCCAAAGCACCCTGCGCAGACCTCCTCACAACAAAAAAACTCAGCTCAGCCCGTGGAAGANAACGCAGGGCACACGAGAGCCCCGGCCAGATACGCCACCGCCACAACGGCGCAATCGTTTCAATAGCCTGCCCAAAAATGCGCTGCTCTTTCTCTCTTGTCAAGGCAGTCAAGCTAGTTGCAGCAACGACGGTGATGCGTCGCAAGCGAAAGGCCACTCCGACTCAGAAGTGGAGCAGGCCAACAAATCGCAGTATAAAAGCGCCAACGAAAAAGAGATAGAGCTACCGCCAGTGTGCACGTGTCCATACTTCGGTGATCGACCGTTGCAGAATTGTCTCAAACCTGCGGAAGTGAAAATTGTGCCCACCACATTTACGGTAACTAACGCAATGGAAATTGAGAATATACTCAATCCGACTGAAGAAGAGCTAAGCAGCATTTTGGTTACGTCCAATGCCAATGGCAATGGTACCGTCTCACGCCTTAGTCCCAACTCGGCGGCGCAAATGAACGCCAACAATATGGGTAGTTCACTTACGGTACACTCCAGCGATGGCAGTGCGTCAGGTTACCTTAGCGCTGCGCCGCCTCCTGGCACTCCCTGCCCGGGAAGACGTAAGCTCAGCATTTCAAAGACTGCTTCTGTGGTGACGTGGGATGCGAGTCGACACCGGCGACGCGGTTCCAGTTTTGGCAGCACGCGCACCACGCTACTGCTCACGCCCACTAAAACCGGCACGGTAGTCACCTCGTCTTCATCTGCAACACCGCTGCAACGTTCCGCCACGCTGCGCAGTCACAACAACATGAACTATCAACACGCTACGGCTACGTCCAGCGATGGCACGACCACCATCATTGATTTGAGTCGATTGCGTCCACAATTTCGCACGCCACAATCTTCGCCTTGTCTGCTGCAACGCAACCAGACGGTACGCTCACATCATTCGCGCAACTCAAGCGTAATTTCACGTAACTCAAGTCGTCATGGGCGCATCATCAAACTCGAACAGAAGGCGACCAAAGTGCTAGGTGTGGTATTCTTCACTTTCGTAATACTATGGTCGCCATTCTTTGTGATCAATCTGCTGCCCACGATATGTGGCGACTGTGAAAATCGCCTAGCACACTGGGTATTCGACGTGGTTACATGGCTAGGCTACGCCTCATCAATGGTTAATCCCATATTCTACACCACATTCAACGAAATCTTTCGCCAGGCATTCAAAAAGGTGCTACTATGCAAATTCTCTTCTTCGTCGCATCGTAGCCAGAACATGTAGCAGCAATTGGAATACACAAAGACCAAAATCAAAAAACAAACCTCGGACTCGAGTGCATCCGGTCTGCTGGCAATGCTTAAACGTCGCAGTTCTTCTAGTCGCAGTACCAGTCGGAGCAGATAGATAACGGATTATGGCGACGACTGTGTACAACTTTGAGTGTGCGCGGCAAATCGGTGGGGTGAGCTGAATATTAGTTTCACTGTAGTCAACTAAGTGCGAAGTAAGTAAGCATGATGATGTGACAGACAGTGAACGATGCCTGCGACCGCCGTCAGTCTAGTACGCAGCAAAGTTTGCCAAACACAAAACTCCTTACGATAGATTTTGATATGTATAAGCATATCCATTGGCAATGACCCCCATATTGACTCAGCGCCTGCACCAAACTCATCAATCTCTTTCCTTCTCCTCCGGTCCGTGCATTCGTGCGTGCGTGCATATGTATGCTGTCGCCTGACTTGGTATGCGCGCGCTCTTGAGCCTGTCGACTATGTGACTTGCATACAACCTAGGTGTCTTTATCCTTTCAATTAATTTCTCTTCATTTACTCACGAAAATTAGTTAGAATTTAGAATACCTTTGCATACGCACTAAGACNCATACTGTGGTCGCCATTCTTTGTGATCAATCTGCTACCCACGATATGTGGCGACTGTGAAAATCGCCTAGCGCACTGGGTATTCGACGTGGTTACATGGCTAGGCTACGCCTCATCGATGGTCAATCCCATCTTCTACACCACATTCAACGAAATCTTTCGCCAGGCATTCAAAAAGGTGCTACTATGCAAATTCTCCTCTTCGTCGCATCGGAGCCAGAACATGTAGCAGCAATTGGAATATACGAAGACCAAAATCAAAACACAAACCTCGGACTCGAGTGCATCCGGTCTGCTGGCAATGCTTAAACGTCGCAGTTCTTCTAGTCGCAGTACCAGCCGGAGCAGATAGATAACGGATTATGGCGCCGACTGTGTGCAACTTTGAGTTTGCGCGGCAAAGCGATGGGATGAGCTGAATATTAGTTTCACTGTAGTCAACTAAGCGCGAAGTAAGTAAGCATGATATTGTGGCAGACAGTTGACTCAGCGCCTGCACCAAACTCATCAATCTCTTTCCTCCTCCTCCGGTCCGTGCATTCGTGCGTGCGTGCATATGTATGCTGTCGCCTGACTTGGTATGCGCGAGCTCTTGAGCCTGTCGACTATGTGACTTGCATACAACCTAGGTGTCTTTATCCTTTCAATTAATTTCTCTTCATTTCCTCACGAAAATTAGTTAGAATTTAGAATACCTTTGCATACGCACTAAGACGCGCAAGCATGCACACGCTTAGGGTGGAGGTCAGTTTGTAATAGACTCGTGTCACACTGGCATTGAGACTCGCAGTTGATGGATTACCTGATTCTATGATAAAGATTTTCATATGTACATATTTATGTAGCTGTTGAAACAGATACAAGGATGGATTGACAATAGCATGGCAAGGATACCCAGCTAAAATGATGTATTAAAGCGCTTGAAAGGCTTAAGCTAAGTTAATTTTGTACCAACTATTTGAGGGTGCATTCCAAGTCGACAGGGTTAGTATCGGAACCCACAGTGGAGAGGTAGAAAGTAGGATAGCTTGTTGTCGGCCCGATAGGTTGGAGAGGCACAAAGATGGCAAAACATATAGTTNACGCAGTTGATGGATTACCTGATTCTATGATAAAGATTTTCATATGTACATATTGTTGCTGTTGAAACAGATACAAGGATGGATTGACAATAGCATGGCAAGGATACCCAGCTAAAATGATGTATTAAAGCGCTTGAAATGATTAAGCTAAGTTAATTTTGTACCAACTATTTGAGGGTGCATTCAAAGTCGACAGGGTCAGTATCGGAACCCACAGTGGAGAGGTAGAAAGTAGGATAGCTTATTGTCGGCCCGATAGGTTGGAGAGGCACAAAGATGGCAAAACATATAGTTTTACAAAAACAAATTAAATAAGTACTAAGCATATCCTGTGCCCGGGGTGTTTATAGGCTTGGTATTGTTGAATCTATCCAAAGTGGCATCGCTGAATTCGAACAGTTTAACGTTTATAGCCTCAAGATATGAGTATATTGAAATACCCTCAGTAGACTTCGCGAAACTCGAATCTATGGTTGTTTTAGCAGAGCCTAAACTAGCCTGGTTTTTTCCTAGGAGTCAAAATTCAAGATCACTAAAGTAAAGTCCTTTACTCCTTAGGCACGATGAGCTGTATGAGCTTTACAACGAATCGCTAAATAAGAAGAAGAATTAAGTAAGCCTCTCAAAATCTTTCAGATTGGACTTCATATCGCATCATTGTCTTCTTCACAACCGCTGAATTAGAGTGCTAAATTTGCTTATGCTGCATAGATTGCAAGCGGACGTTGTTTGTCTAAACTCTCTCTTGACCGACCACTAGAACCTGTTTCAGGCTGCTTTCAAAGCATTCGACGTTTTAAGAATTTTACGTCAAGAATGCTGACCTATAATTAAACTCACTGCACGAAAAGCAAATCACAGACAATTAATTTGACGGTTCTCGTTAGGTGAAGCCCTCACCCCACTAATGTTTAATTTACATATCGTCGTTTAAAGTACAAAACCGCGTATCGTCATTCTGCAAAACCGCGTAACTGACATTGGCTGCCAAACATTGGATTTGCTAACACAAGCTCTTGGCTCAATCCTTATCCTTTCGTCCTCAAATATAATAGCCAGAAATGCGATTGCTTTATAAAAAAAGAGAACCATTTTGAAATATGAGTATTTTTACTCTCTAAAAAATAATTTATGCAACCTCACATACGCGGTTTTTCATTTTGCTGATACGCGGTTTTGCACTTTAAACGACGATATGCATATGGAAACTCCCTCCTACACCTAAGAGCGTTTCCTTGATTCCACAGCCAGATGAGTATTTATTTTTGGCATATGCAAAGACATTGATGACTTGTTTTAAAAGTGAATAAACTGATCGATAGCAGTCCGAAAAGTTTTTCTTAACACCTTTGACATCTGCTTTAACATCGAGCTATGAGAGGTGCGTACACTTCTACTCGAGAAGTCCCGGGCTCGATCCCCACTAACATCAACATTCAAACCAGTTTTTCTTACACACATTATGGCTGAAATAAGCACTCTCTGCGGCCAAAAATCAATCGGCCCATAACCACACCCATATGCTGGGTATCCCAGACCACCCGTCCAGCCCTTCTAAAATGGAGGAAAATTGTTTTTATTGGAAAACGGTAAAATATGAGCTACCAAGACGGGGATGCTCTACCTTGTGGTCGTATTACCGGCTTCCGATTTCGACCAGAAGTCAATTATTCTAACCGGAAGTCTATTCCAGAAAAACGTCTCAGACAAGAGTTACATATTTNTCGGGGATGCTCTACCTTGTGGTCGTATTACCGGCTTCCGATTTCGACCAGAAGTCAATTATTTTAACCGGAAGTCTATTCCAGAAAAACGTCTCAGACAAGAGTTACATATTTTTTTCCGCGGAATCCGAATCTGTAGTAAAAGCATTTATGCCCCATTTAAAAAAGTGGACTTCCGGTCCATCTACAAGTTGAATATTTGTTAATTTTTGACTTTGGTGACGTCAACAAAAAGAAATTATTAAAAATCATTGCGATTTTTTAACCACTTAAAACTTGAACTTATTTTACTAAAATTTTATAAGCCCGTTAAGTGCATACCCAAAAGATTATAAAAATTCTGGTTAAAAAGCTCGAAATTTGTGGAATTTTTCTAAATTCTGTATAAAGTTTGAAAGTGTGATTTGTATGGTTTTTGTTAAAAAAAAAATCAAAAAATGGCAGGCATTGCCTGCGAGTATTTACTATCTCGCAGTCTAGAGACAAGTTGAACGGGGATGCAGCATACTTTTAGTCATTGGGTCGGTTGTAAGTCCCTTAAACAAGCCAAATTTACTGATCTTACGGCCGTTTTCCTACGTCATAGTCATCGTATGACTATAGGTTTTACCGCTACGGCTTAAAATATGCCGACAAAACTTGAGTTTACAGCTCCAATACTCATAATGACGCATTTGTATGTTATTGTTATGGCCTACTGAGTTAGTGACAATAACGAAACAATACTTATATTTGGCGCCATAAACTTAAACGCAGTAGCTACGCATAGGCAGTTAATAGGGCAGTTAATTAAACCATTGTCTTCAGAATAGCCCACAACAATTTCATATTCAGAGTCTTGTACACTGAGGGAAATAATGCACAGTAAAAATGAATACTTTATATTTGATTATCGTTTAAAAATGTTCGTATCTAAAAATAATATTTTCATACAAAATTTATTACGCACGTATTTGACTGTTCACATGTGAGTATGTATATGTAAGTATACATACGCATCCCAAGCATGCAGAGCGGTGACAACACACACATATGTACATACATAGTACAAATCGCGTGCTGAAAGCAAATTTATATGTCTGAGTGTAGCTGAGTGCGTAAAGATGCTTGCCACAAGTTGTTGATATCCGGAAATGGTCGGGTTCGAATTCCACTGCAGGCAACATGCAAATACATTTTTTTTTTAGTTTTTGTCTTGATTATTCACTTCACGGATGATTTTTCAGTACGAACTCGGTCATTTTAATATGCGCGTAATTGAATTGAATATTTACCAATATACAGTACTTTCGTTGACGTTTATAGTAAGATCAATTACGTTTCTATTTGATTTTAATATTTTTTTCCCTCAGTGTAGTTAACGATCGCAATTCGTAGTGCCTGAAAGCATACAATGCTGAGAAATCAATAGGTACTAATTCAGAAAAATTTTATTTTTTTCCACAAAATCTGACTTTAAGTTAGCGGCTGTTTTTGAGGTATTCCCCCCTTTCGTTCCCAACACCAGGACACGCACAACGCAGTGATCAACTAGGCAATGTAAATTCCGTCTTAGGGGACGCACAAACAAAGCTCTTGTGACTGAGTTACAC